TGGAGCGGGCGGAGGTGAGCCACCTTAGAGGTGCCCACGAGTCATTGATTACCAGTAGAGGCTAGGAGGTCCGATCCGGCTTTGGTATACTGCTAGCCGGACCCTGTTGGTTTTTAGGGACACTACGCAGCGGAAAAATAAAAAATTTCCCTAAAACCATCCAGGAATCACCCAAGATTTTACGTATGACATACAATAAGAAGGGTTTTAGGATTACCTTAATCCAAGCGGCGTCTCCCTGCAGCGTTGTTTGAGGATGGTCAGCCCTTGAGCAGTCCAATCGTCCTGCCTCTACTGATATCCACGCTAGAGCAACCCTGGATCGTCTCACGAACTATGTATTGAAGAGAAAAAGGTGCTAGCCTTTCTCCACTTTTCAATCGTATATGTTTCTCTCCTTTTGTGTGTGACAATCACAAAACCTTGTTTTCTTTTCATATATTGGGAGAAAAATCGAGAGAGCTATGATTAGAGAGATGTCTTCTGATATAGAATGATAAGTCTTCTTTTATGATTCAAAATCAAAACCATAGACTTCTAATCACATAAGACTCTATCTATCATTATCTGATAGATAAGAGATAACCATTTACTCTTATCTGCTCAAAAAGGCCTGGGATTAATTTTCCTTTAAAATTAAACCCTGATAATTTACATAGTTTCAATCCAGGATTAAATCTCTATTGCGTGTGACCCAATAGGTCCCGAATGCATTGGTAATAATTATGGTTTAATAATTAGATAAAATAAACGACTTTATTTTATCATACTTATAATAAATAATTAATCCATAATTATAAATCACGAGCGGTGTCTAGCAACACATCGCGATTGCCCAATTATTCGGAATTAGTCAAGGGAATTTGACCTAACCTTTCCGTGAAAAATTACCGTGTAATTATTATCCTTTCCCAAGATATCCAATTAGTCAGGAATAAGGAATAAGTGCCAATTCCCTGATGACTAATTAAATTTTCTAGTTCCCGAAATTTACCCTTAATTAGGTTAAATTGAAGACATTCTTCAATTTACCTAATAGTCGACTTTAGGGTTAATTTCTCACTAGTGGCCATCCGGATATCAACTCCTTCTATCAGAGTGGTAAATCCTATCTTGATCACCCATTTTCTTTACGTGCTTCACACTACATCCAACTTCTACACTTTAAGGTACTCAAAGAGTAACAAGTAATTAGAGTCAAAATGTAGCGATTCACACTCAAGATACTATGGTGATCTCAAGTCGAGGATCACTTACACAATTTTTCACTAGAGATACACCATTGGCACTAGATAGATATCCTAACGGGATCTCTAAACGGATCACTCCAATGCATTTGTACTTTTCAAATCATCTACACATTAGCCTAAGTATCTTCATACCATAGTTGATGAGAACAACCACTAATTACATTAATTAGAGGCTAACTGTGTACTAGTTTTACCGTACTAAAGATGTCCTATTTCATTAGTACAAAAACTAGGGAATTTTAATAATATTACTATAAATGTGATTGATATCTCATAGTCACCAACTCTTGTGACTATCATCACATTAGTAATATTATAAGGACTTTATCGGTTGTATCTAATATTTAACAGATAAATAAGAAGTTATTAAAATACAAAACATATAATAAGGAATGTATAAAATAAAAACAAATACATTGTTTTAGGGCATACATTCCAACAATCTCCCACTTGCACTAAAACACATTATCCATGTTTTTCATCCCATAAGATAATACATGACTATCATGCTTCTTTTGAGGAAGAACTTTAGTAAGAGGATCAGCTATGTTATCCTCTGTGGAGACTCTCTCTATCTTTACATCATTCCTAGCAACGATTTCTCTAATCAAGTGAAATCTCCTAAGCACATGTTTGGATCGCTGATGAGACCTAGGTTCCTTGGCTTGAGCTATAGCTCCATTGTTATCACAGTACAAAGTGACCGGATCAACAATGGTTGGAACCACACCAAGTTCAGTTACGAACTTCTTGATCCAAACTGCTTCCTTAGCTGCTTCCGCGGCCGCAATGTACTCAGCCTCTGTTGTAGAATCTGCTGTGGTGTCTTGTTTGGAACTCTTCCAACAGACAGCACCTCCATTAAGAGTAAAAATGAAGCCTGACTGTGATTTACAATCATCCTTATCTGATTGAAAACTCGCATCAGTATAGCCTTTGAGCTCTAACTCACCCTTTCCATATATTAAGAACAAATCTTTGGTCCTTCTTAAGTACTTAAGAATGTTCTTAACGGCTATCCAATGACCCTCACCTGGATTAGCTTGAAATCTGCTTGTGACACTCAGAGCATAGGAGACATCAGGTCTTGTACATAACATAGCATACATAATTGATCCAATTGCTGAAGCATATGGAACATTGTGCATCTTATCAGTCTCAACTTGTGTCTTTGGACACATGTTTTTAGAAAGGCTTATACCATGAGTCATAGGTAAATTACCCCTCTTAGACTGATCCATGCTAAACCTTTTTAGCACTTTCTCTATGTATGTAGATTGTGAAAGACCCAGTAGCCTTTTAGATCTATCCTATAGATCTTAATGCCTAATATATAGGCCGCTTCTCCTAAATCTTTCATGGAAAAGTTCTTCGACAACCAACCCTTTACCGATTGTAACATCGGTATATTGTTTCCCATTATTAATATGTCATCTACATATAAAATAAGGAAAACAATGAACTCCCACTAACTTTCTTATACACACAAGGTTCATCCGGATTCTTGAGAAATCCAAACTCTTTGATCGTCTCATCGAATCGGATGTTCCAACTCCTAGATGCTTGCTTAAGTCCATAAATAGACTTTTGTAGCTTACATATTTGACTAGGATTTGTAGATGTAAAGCCTTCAGGTTGTGTCATATACACATCCTCATGCAATGTCCCGTTAAGGAACGCGGTCTTTACATCCATCTGCCAAATCTCATAGTCATGATATGCTGCTATGGCAAGCAATATCCGAATGGATTTAAGCATAGCTACTGGTGAGAAAGTTTCATCGTAATCGATTCCCTCTTTCTGCTTGTAGCCTTTGGCTACCAGTCTAGCTTTATAGGTAACCACATTACCATCCATGTCAGTCTTCTTCTTGAAGATCCATTTACACCCTACAGGTTTTATCCCTTCAGGTGGATCAACTAAGGTCCACACCTTATTGTCATACATGGAATTTATTTCGGAATTCATGGCTTCTAACCATTTAGAGGAGTCTGGATTACTTATTGCCTCTTGGTAGGTAGTAGGTTCGTCATCTTGAATGACTAGAACATCATTGCTATGGCTCACAAGAAATTGGTATCTCTTGGGAGTTGAGCGTGTTCTTACTGACCTACGAAGCCCTTGTGTATTAACAGCTTCAGTATCTACCCCATCATTATGTGGTTGAAGCTGTTCTTCATTAGATCGTTCAATGTTTGTTGGATGATCCTGAATTTCTTCAAGATCTATTCTACTCCCACTGCTTCTTTCTAGAATGTATTCTTTCTCTAGAAAAATAGCATGTTTTGAGACAAACACTTTTTGCTCAATTGGATTGTAGAAATAGTATCCTATAGACTCTCTTGGATACCCTACAAACAAACATTTGTCAGATCTAGGTTCAAGCTTGTCTGACTCTGCCCTCTTCACATAAGCTGGGCAGCCCCAAACCTTCATATAAGACAGATTTGGTTTCTTTCCTTTCCATATCTCATATGGTGTGGAGTCGACAACTTTAGTGGGTACTCTATTAAGAGTATAAGAGGCTGCATCTAATGCAAATCCCCAAAACGATTTTGGGGCACTTGAGTGGCTCATCATAGAACGAACCATATCCAATAAGGTTCGGTTTCTCCTTTCAGATACACCATTTAACTGTGGTGTACCTGGAGGAGTCCATTGTGGAACTATTCCATTATCCTTTAAATAAACTCCAAACTCGTCATTTAAGTATTCTCCACCACGATCAGATCGTAGTATCTTAATACTTTTATTGGTTTGTTTTTCTACTTCATTCTTGAATTCCTTAAACTTTTCAAAGGATTCAGATTTGTATTTCATTAAATACACGTAACCATATCTCGAATGGTCATCTGTGAAGGTGATGAAGTATGAAAAACCTCCTCTAGCAGTGATCGACATTGGGCCGCATACATCAGTGTGTACTAGCCCAAGTAAATCACTGGCTCGTTCCCCTTTTCCAGTAAAGGGCATTTTGGTCATTTTGCCAAGTAAACAAGCTTCGCATGTATCATATGATTCATAATCAAATGAATCCAAGTATCCATGTTGGTATAACTTGGAGATGCGTTTTTCATTTACATGACCAAGCCTACAGTGCCAGAGGTAGGTTTTATTTAGTTTATCTGTTCTCATTCTTTTTCACTCACATTGAGAATTTGATGATCAAGATCTAGAATATATAAACCGTTATTCCAACTTCCAGAACCATAAAACACACCATTTTTAGAAAAAGAACAACATTTATTCTCCTGGGTTATCCGAAACCCATTTAAATCCAAACAGGAAATAGAAATGATGTTTGTAGTAAGTGCTGGAACACAATAACAATTTAATAATTCTAAAATCAATCCACTGGGTAAAGTGATATAATAAGTCCCTACAGCTAAAGCAACAACTTTTGCTCCATTGCCCACACGTAGGGTGACTTCTCCTTTTCCCAGCTTTCTACTGTCCCTTAGACCCTGCATAGATGTGCAAATGTGAGAACCACATCCGGTATCTAATACCCAAGAGTCTGATTTGGAAGTAGACACATTAATCTCAATCATATATGTACCTGATGATGAAGCTTCAGCAAGCTTCTTTTGCTTCAGGCTCTCCAAGTATGACTTGCAGTTCCTTTTCCAATGTCCAGTTTGATTACAATGGAAGCAGGTTGCTTTGGACTGGTCCGCCTTTGCCTTTTTGGGCTTTTGGGTGGGCTTGTTTTTGGATTTCTTAAATCCCTTTTCTTGCCTCTTCCTCTTCTTAGAGAAGTAACGACAAGCACACCAGTAGAGCCTTTCCCTTTTTGATTTCTTTCTCAGCAGTTTTCAGCACATTCAACAATTGAGGCAAAGTGTGCTGCAGATTATTCATCTGATAGTTCATAACGAACTGTGAGAAAGAATCTGGCAGAGATTGGAGCACTAAATCAACATTCAGCTCCTATCCATCTTAAAACCTAATTCGGCCAGTTTTTCAATTAGCCCAATTAATTTTAAGACATGTGGAGCAACAGGTGCTCCCTCTGCCATCTTGCACCTGAACAATTCTTTAGAGGTATCATATCTAACCGTCCTTGATTGTTGTTCAAACAACTCTCTCAGGTGTTGTACAATATCATACGCCCCCATGTTCATGTGCTGCTGCTGAAGCTGAGGAGTCATGGAAGCTATCATGATACATGAAGCTTCCCTATTGTCATCCTTATGTTTCTTATAAGCATTTCTAACAGCAGCAGGTGCAGTAGGTTCAGGCTCTTGAGGCATTGGACCATCAAGTACATACTCAATTTTCTCATGAGTGAGAACGATAAGGACATTACGATGCCAATCAAGAAAGTTCGTGTCGTTGAGTTTGCAATCAGTAAGAATAGTAACAGGCTCAAATTGTTACTCATTCTACAACAAAATGAAAGATAGAATTTGTTAGAAAAATGTTTTGTTTAATAAAATCATAAAAACTTCAAAATTATGATTTTATTTCCACTATTTTTTTTCAAATCAATTACCCTCTAAAATTGAATCGGGAATTTCTAAAATTCCATAGTGGCTAGGATCCTATCTTAATTTATTTCGACCTTGAGTGTGTCCCAACAAATCGAAAATAATTATGAAAGGTAGGTACTTTTACCAATTACAACTTATTGTAATTCCTAGATCAGTTGGGTGTCAACTCTTGACTTTAAATCTCTATGGATCAACCCAACACTTGCCTCTAAAATTAATGATTTTGAGTGAATCCCAACAAATCATAATTTTAGTTAAATCAAACCCATCATTCTTGAGAACATTTCTCATAGCAAAAACACGTAGTAAGTAAGGCAGCCTTGGGTGAATCCCAACAAGCTAGCACTTAATAACTACTCTTGTTTTATACTATAATGATGGAAGGCATTTTATTGATTTAATATTATAGTTGAGGGATTTGTCTCTTTTTCCAAAAATATTTTATAATTAAAATTTTGGAAAAATTGCTCATTTGGTCTCATCAATAAACATGCATATAACCATTCAAACTTATAAACATGAATTTAAATCGTGGATGGTTGTGGATATTCCTAAACTAATTTCCCGGCCATTAGGAAATTAGCATACTAAAATCTTTAATACGAGATGAACCCCTTCGTGTCGTATGCCTCCTTTCTTCTTTTCAAAGTTACAATTTCTATATAAATTTAAATTCCTATCATCTATTCCTATCTATTGTACATTACAAATAGTATAGAAGAAACCCCGAGTTACATTCGGGGGGAATTTAGATGAGAAAAGAAATTACAATTAGAAAATAAGAAAGGCAGGACACGCAGGCCCTATTTTAAAATTAATTACAACCATTCAAACCTAGAATGATTGTAACCTTCCAAAATACCACAATCATATTGCGTGCTATATCCACAACCATCCACCATGCATTTTCACAATTTAAACAACTTTAAATAAAAGAAAAGCATGTAAAATAAGCAATCTCAATTCATGGATTAATTGGATTTAATTCCTAAGGTCCCAAACAAATTTTGGGTCCATGCATACGCAGAAATATTGGTAAAATTAAATTTTATTAGGTCAACTTTATCCTCAACTAATTTGAGGAAAGAATGGGAAAATAATTCAAATTAATCAAATTAGTTCTAAATTAATTCCCAACCTAATAATATCTGAAATAAATGATTCCATAACACATTTTAACAATTAAAATGGGATTTAATTCAGAAGATTCCAAAAGTTCAAAACTTCAAGCTTTAGGAAAATTTTTTTTTCTTAAACCACTGACACCACCGGCACTACCATTGGACACCACCACTTCAGTCACCACCGCTGAGGTCTCCACTGACCATCAACAGCGGCAACTCCCAGCGGCAGCCACCAGGGAGTTCACTGGAAACAACAACACCAGTCGGCTGCAACATCAAGCTGCAAACGTGCCTGATTGCTGCTTCCTCGTTGTCGCGCCTGTTGCTGGATAGCGGAGCTACCACCGCAACAGCCACCACCACTGGAGTCTCCACTGACCACCAGTGGCAGCGGCTCCTGGTAGCAGCCACCGCAGGTCATGGGCAGCAACCGTGAGGAGGCTGCTGTGCCCTGCTGATGTCTGCAACAATTTTGCTGCGTTTTTGTCCCAGAGAGCTCATAGCTCTTCTACCCAGCAACCACTACCAGGCGTACAACCTTCCACTGCCACCAAGGAAAACCACCATGGCTCCCACGGCAGCAGCAGCTGGCGGCAGCCCTTGCAGCCGCAACATCGCAGCAACCGCAGGTTTGCTAACGCAAACTTGCTATGTTTTTTTTTTTTTTTTTTTGGTCCAATGATCATCCTGCAACTTTTGCAGATGATCAACTATGACCATGGGTGACTCAAATCCACGAAAGAAAGAAAACCAGTGCTTATGATGTCCGCAGCTTCCTAAGCTTCGTGTGCATAACGCAGCTTTCAAAAGCTTTCATGAAAAACCCTTTTTTTTTTTTTTTGTTTTGAAAAACCCAAAAACAATTCTTCCATAATTCCGCATATCAATTAAATCCAACCAGTAATATTAATCCATGAATCCAAAATTGCTTAAAATCATACGTAAAATTCTTAGGGATGGCTCTGATACCACTGTTGGGTTTTAGGGACACTACGCAGCGGAAAAATAAAAATTTTCCCTAAAACCATCCAGGAATCACCCTAGATTTTACGTATGATACAATAAGAAGGGTTTTAGGATTACCTTAATCCAAGCGGCGTCTCCCTGCAGCGTTGTTTGAGGATGGTCAGCCCTTGAGCAGTCCAATCGTCCTGCCTCTACTGATATCCACGCTAGAGCAACCCTGGATCGTCTCACGAACTATGTATTGAAGAGAAAAAGGTGCTAGCCTTTCTCCACTTTTCAACGTATATTTTCTCTCCTTTTGTGTGTGACAATCACAACCTTGTTTTCTTTTCGCTATATTTGGGAGAAAAATCGAGAGAGCTATGAAGAGAGATGTCTTATGATATAGAATGATAAGTCTTCTTTTATGATTCAAAATCAAAACCATAGACTTCTAATCACATAAGACTCTATCTATCATTATCTGATAGATAAGAGATAACCATTTACTCTTATCTGCTCAAAAGGCCTGGGATTAATTTTCCTTTAAAATTAAACCCTGATAATTTACATAGTTTCAATCCAGGATTAAATCTCTATTGCGTGTGACCCAATAGGTCCCGAATGCATTGGTAATAATTATGGTTTAATAATTAGATAAAATAAACGACTTTATTTTATCATACTTATCATAAATAATTAATCCATAATTATAAATCACGAGCGGTGTCTAGCAACACATCGCGATTGCCCAATTATTCGGAATTAGTCAAGGGAATTTGACCTAACCTTTCCGTGAAAAATTACCGTGTAATTATTATCCTTTTACCAAGATATCCAATTAGTCAGGAATAAGGAATAAGTGCCAATTCCCTGATGACTAATTAAATTTTCTAGTTCCCGAAATTTACCCTTAATTAGGTTAAATTGAAGACATTCTTCAATTTACCTAATAGTCGACTTTAGGGTTAATTTCTCACTAGTGGCCATCCGGATATCAACTCCTTCTATCAGAGTGGTAAATCCTATCTTGATCACCCATTTTCTTTACGTGCTTCACACTACATCCAACTTCTACACTTTAAGGTACTCTCAAAGAGTAACAAGTAATTAGAGTCAAAATGTAGCGATTCACACTCAAGATACTATGGTGATCTCAAGTCGTAGGATCACTTACACAATTTTTCACTAGAGATACACCATTGGCACTAGATAGATATCCTAACGGGATCTCTAAACGGATCACTCCAATGCATTTGTACTTTTCAAATCATCTACACATTAGCCTAAGTATCTTATACCATAGTTGATGAGAACAACCACTAATTACATTAATTAGAGGCTAACTGTGTACTAGTTTTACCGTACTAAAGATGTCCTATTTCATTAGTACAAAAACTAGGGAATTTTAATAATATTACTATAAATGTGATTGATATCTCATAGTCACCAACTCTTGTGACTATCATCACATTAGTAATATTATAAGGACTTTATCGGTTGTATCTAATATTTAACAGATAAATAAGAAGTTATTAAAATACAAAACATATAATAAGGAATGTATAAATAAAAACAAATACATTGTTTTAGGGCATACATTCCAACAGACCCATCGTTGTAGGCGTTGCCAGTATTACTCTTATGCTAACCACGTGGTCATGGTGGTGCTAGATGAGAGGAGGAGACTTAGGAGTGCCGCCGCCAGGGATCACACTGAGGCGCTTAGATTGAGGGGCGTCATAAGGATGCAGGCTGATCGGATCGGAGAGCTCCAAGGAGACATAGCAATAGAGCAGGAACGAACTAATGCTCTTAGAGAGCAGTTGCAAGGGGTCAACCAGCGCCTTACTAATGTCGTCCGGGAGGTTAGAGACCTCTCTGGAAGCATTATTAATGAGTGTGAGGTGCTGATCCAAGGTGTGATTGGCGCCAATGCACAGGTAATGGCTCCTAGTGGCGATGCACCTAGTGAGGGGAGTACCCCTAGTTCTAACCAAGGGTTTTGAACCACTTTTGATTCCATAAAGGGAATAGTTAGGAAAGGCTCTTAGTTAGCCGTTTTGGCCTAACTTTGTATATTGTTTTTGGCTTTTGTTTCATGGGATGACTTTTGTTTGTACTTGACTAACTGTTTTTGTATAACTGCTTGATCCTATTATATGTTCTATGTATGTGTGTTATGTGTTTAAATGCCCTATGAGGTAGTTGTTTCGGCTAATTGTTCATGCTTATTGTTACATAAAAGGGGTTATGTGCCCTTTAACATTATACTTATCTTTTGACCTTAGATTGACTTAAATCGATGGAGGGCAGTCGTAGTGGTCGAGGTCGTGGACACGGGAGTTGGCAACCCACGTCTGAAAGAGGCACTGGGGAAACCTCGTTTGGACCAAACCCTGAACCTAGGGTTGATCCCAATATCCAAATAGCTACTGCTATGCAACAAATGACTGATTTGCTAGCCCAAGTGGTGCAACAACAAGGTCAAAACCCTAACCCCAACCCTGGGAACCCCAGTAATCACGTGGAGAGCGAGGATAGGACCTTCGAGAGGTTTCAGAAGTTTGCCCCACCAATATTTATTGGGGGCCCGATCTAGATATGGCCGAAAGGTGGCTAGAAAAGATAGTAGACATCTTTGCTACCCTGCACTACACAGAGGAACGGCAGGTGACTTTTGCTGTCTTC